CCTTTTTATTAACTTATGCCATGCTTAAAAGGTGCTATGCACCGTCTAGACGTTTAGGAAAGGATGTGCCTTGAAGAGCTCACAAACTAAGATGAGGCAGAGAGAATATGTGTTTGGGGGATGGGGAGCAACCACTAAGGATGCAGCTGGTACAAACTTCAACTAGATTTTCACTGGGGGCGCTGGAGCAGAAATGACTCTTTGAGGAGAGAGATCCCTGGAGGGGTGAGGACCTCTGTGGTGGTCTGGAAGGAGGCAGCCGTGCCAGCACTTGGCAGAGGGGCAAGAAGGTGGGAGGACAGGTGGGAAGGAATGTGACAGTGGAGTCTACTGGGCAGAGCTAGAGCGGGACTGTGCCATGCTAAAGGTGCTGGCATAATTTCACTTACTGCTTATGCTCGTGTTCATTACAAGCTTTAAACATCTTAGCGTCCTGGTAAGCCTTTCAATCCCCAATGTAAGCATGGGAGAGGAGTTCAGGTACCTCCGCTGCATAGTCAAGGTCGATGCTCTTCCCTCGGCTCTATAGATAGCTCAGACTACCGTCCTCCATGCAGGAAAAACCTCTCACCTTGCCTGTGGGGTGTTTTAATTGTGCCCACCTTACTTGGGCAAGGGTTATTGTGTGAGAGCCTGCTGACTGCTGTCATGCAAGGTAAAATCCAGATGCTTTGCAGCGAGGATGTTGGCAAAAATCTCTTGAGTGCTAGTAACCCCTCCCAAAGTCTGCTTGTAAGTCTTTCCAAGGACCAGGAAATGTCTCCCATTTCTCTGAGGATCAATCTGCGCTTTTCACGCAGAAATGAAGGAAAATGTTGTTAATGTGGTACAACTTTCCCTGTGTCCTCTAATTACAGCTAAAAGCGTGGATAGGTATGAACCTGGAACATCACAGGTTTTGAATCAAACTCTGATTATTTATCTTTTGTTTATATAAATGTGTGTGTATATTTTAATCTCTGAAATATTGAAGGAATAGCAACTGAGAAATCTAATGGTACATCCAGTTGCAGAGAGTCTCTGATTTTCTCACTTAGATAATATTTTTACTTTTTATGCTCTCTCATGCCACCAAATTAACAAGTGGAAGTCTTCATAAAGTCTAAAACATCTGTCTTGTCTGATAGATGTTGACTTTGAATAGACTTGTCTGAGACCAGTTGAAACAGAGATACTTCTCCATTTTCTTACTACCCAAAGAACTTGACCTTACCATTTCTAAGATGAAATTTTTGGAGTGTGTTGTTTTTTTTCATTTATTTTTTTAATAAATATCAGGGGTTTTGAAAAGCTAGAATTTTTCAAATTTCTAATAAGAGCATCTTCTTTAAATTAACTTGGCGTTCTAGTAAAGACACCACCAGGATGCAAACCAAACTTAGTGCCCCCGTTGGCCTATATGAGAGGATTGCTATCGATTTTCTGTTTTTGGTTATTTAAGTACATAAGCCTGTATTATATCTTATTTCATCAATATTTACAATATTTATTTTACCTAGCAAGAGAAAGTTACACAAATTAAGTTGAATCAGAAGAAACCAGGTACCAGTTGTGAGTGAAGAGGTGGATGTAGGTACACAGGATGAGAGAGAACACCTTTAATCTTCACTGCACTTAGCGTGGTCTCTTTTCTCTTGGACACTTGGAAGTTGAGGGGTTTTGAACTCAGAAACACTTGATGCCATTTGGAACTGAAAAAATGTCAGAATAAAATGTGAATTCATATTTGCCAGGTCAGTACTGCAAAGGACATAACTTGGCTACTTGGGTAAATTTAGATTACAGTATTTTGGTTTGTAAGAAAACTATTACGTAACACCAGAACAAGGTAATTATATTTAATAGCTTAAACAGCTCATTACTAATTAGCCATGATTACAGCTGAAAAACCACAAGAATTAATGAAAGCTTTTTAACAGCAGAGAATTTAATAGCAGTTCTAAACACCGTTTTCTTTCCACGTTCATCACCCTCCATTTCTAGAGAGAACAACAAAGTGGGAGCCCTGTAAGATAAAGAATTTTATCTTCTGCTTTGCTTTCAGCTAACAAAATTACTCTGGCTTTATAGCCAGAGACTTTAAAGCAGTTTTTATAACTAAGATCATGACTGACATGCAGAGTCTTTGTCATCTTGTTAGCATTCAGAGAGCTAATGCCCTGCAGTTTTCTAAAAGGAGGTATTTTATTCTTTTGAGGCAGTAAATGGAAAGAAATGCTGTCCCTGGAAGATGTAGTCTGTGGTACTCAATGTTTTCTTTTGGAAGTGCATAAATACAAATAAGCCTCCTGGTGAGAGAGACCGAGCACTTAAAAATGCGACCGCAGATGCTGAGCGCTTCTGCGGTCCGATTCAGCGCTATCCAGTGCATGCTTGCCTCAAAAAAGAGCAGATGTTATTTCTTTAATACAAGTATACGAAGGCTCAGCCCAGCGATGGTAAAACCTCTTTAAAAGAGTATATGGGGCACTCTTGTGTGTTTCTGGGTTTATTCATAGAAATAAAGGCAAACCAGGAAAAGAAAGCTTTAAAGAGGTCAGAATCTGCCGCGTGTAAGGTTACGTCCGTGAGCAGCAGGTGCCTCCCCGGCCCATTCTGGGAGAAAACCCTCGCGCAGCAGAGGGTCATCCATTGCTTCCTGGGTTTTGTTTTTATTAAGAGAGTTCAGTTCAAGCTAGCTCCCCAGGCACAGCTGCTTCCTTCCTCGCAACCCCTCAGCCCACAGCCAAGATCCTCCCTCCGAGAGTCCCTCCGGCCGCCTTTCTTCCCCGATGGGCCGGGAGCCGCCTGCCCCCGCGAGGCTGGCGCCGGCCCCTTGCTGTGGAAAAACCTGTAGCTGTACGAGATAGGAAAAGAGGATGCTGGTAATGAATCTTGGCGTTCAGTTATAATTCGGTGCTTTTTTGGATTTTTGGGGAGGTTCTTTTTTTTAACACAAATGTGGAATTATTCTTGCAGTATCAATTTTCCAACAGGTTTTAATCACACATAACAAATGTGAAAATACTGATGTCCTCAGCGCTTCCTGAGGTGCATTTATAGGGATTCACTATGGTGATTTAAGCTGGCGTAATTAAATGTGCCATACAATGAGTATATTTTAAGAGGGATGTAATCAGGAAAATTCTGCATGTAACCATCTGCTTGCTGATTAGCACAGCACATTGTTTGCCAGCTTTTCAGAATTTGTAAGTATCAGGAGAAAACGTTACTGCTGTCCTCCAGGTGTTTGTCAGACTTGTGAGACCTAGATTTGAGTTTCACTTTACAGTGAAAGTGAACTCTTCACTGGGGGGGGGGGGGGAGGAATGTAAAGCTAAACTTCTTCTTTTGAAAAGACTGTCAGCTATAATGGATACCACATATTTAGTTTGGTATCTCGTTATCTGGTCAGTTTGCCAAGTGAATCTGCCTTTACTTTAACAGTAAACTAGCTGATGTGTGCCACTATGTAAGACTAATGCAATAAACATTATGTAGCGGTTTCAATGTCTTGAATTTCCTTTCAAATTTTTGAGTAGGAGGAAAATTCATTCCAGATTAACTGTATGCTCATTTATAGCTGCCACCACTCAAAACTGTGGTTGTGGTTATATTTACTGCCTTAATCCCTTTTTTAGAAGGATTTATAATGTATTCTTTTTCAGAGAATCTGCCTGCAGCTGTAGTCCTTAGACACACTTACCTGCTCGGGGGGGGGGGGGGTTCACAGTGGAGTATGTAGTATCGTGACTGTATTCCTAGTGCTTTTTTTTCCTATAAAGTAGGATGAACTGTCAAGCCAAATGCTGTCTGCCCAGAAAGCTTATTAGTTACTGCAAAGCACACTGTGATTTCAGGCAGCGCGCGTAACGTGTTGAAAGATGAGAGAAAGCCTGATCTCGTTCAGCCTTAAGGCTAGAGTTTTGCCCATCATCAGCCCCTCTCTGGAAGGGCAACGCTGAGACGTGCAGGGCTGGGCAGTGCTTCCAGAAAAACAGACTGATTGCTTAAAAGTCATCGCTAACAAGTTGCCCTTGTTCTGTCCGCTTTCCTGGGCTCTGTCTTGCCTGGACTGAGCTTGGTTATCCACCACATCCTGTTGCCTTTCACCTCAGGCCCGTAAGCCACTGGCCCTTTCTTTCCCCCTCTGCCCCTGCTTGTCACTCTCTGAAGAAGTTGTTGCTAGTTTGTACCCGAGGATGCCATGCGTGTAGACAGCTGTTAGGAAATAGAAGTCTGTTATCGCTTGCATAAAGAATGAGCCGTTCATCCCAAAATGCCCAGCGGTATTACTAATGCTTTCCAGTTTTCTTTACTGGCTGATTTTCGTCAAATCTCTTTTACAGGTCACCTTTGATTGTTCCTATCTGGTTACTCGCCTCCTTTCTGTCCTCTGCCTTGGCTTGGTACCTGTGTTTTATGTGATCCTTTTTGTCCCGAAGACAGGCATTTTCTTTCCTTAATATGACAAGATTTCTTTTGGAGTTCCCTCCATAGGCGAGTGTAAGGATAGCTTGTGTTTCTGGATTTGTTCCTCCTATTTTTTGTTCGTTTGGTTTTGTTTTATTTTGCAGGTTAGGTTTATGCCCCAATAGCATCAGCAGATGAGGGTTGTACTGCAAGCCAGCTTTGTAGGCTACCATCTAGAAACCAGAAATCTAAGTTGTCTTTGCAATTCCTTTTATCTCCTTGTTCTCCAACTCTCAGCTTAGTGGTTTGACCTTTTACATAAGCTATTTTTCATCAGCGTTTGCCAAGGTTTTCTTAAACACTTTAGCAGTGCTTTGCAAGTGTAGAGCACAAATATTAACTATTTCCTTCTGTGTCTGTGTTCTGTTGACTGATTTTCATTTTTATTATTATTAGGGAAGTAGAGTAACTCATAAACTTTGATCAGGAGGTCTGAATACCGGAAGCCTTAATATACATAAAAATGACCTCTGATTCATTGTTTCAAATTCCACTTTGGTTTGGAAACTCACAAAGAAGTGTTCATGTATTTTTGTATTTCTCTATAGGTCACCTTACATTTGAATCCAATTTCATCAGTGCATATTCACCAGAAGCCTCTGGTGTTCCTTCTCAACTCTCCTTTGCCTCTGGTCTGGAAGCTAAAAACAGAAAGACTGGCACCTGGAATCCGAAGAGTGTTCTTTGTAAGTATACAGAGTCCTCTGACCTGCTCTATATCATAGCTACTTGTCGCACAAGATGTAGAGTTAATGGCATTTATTTGGAAGTTTTTAAACATACTTTTAAAAAAAAAAAAAAACCCAAGTTAACAGGAGGTCAAGTTACAGTGTAGGGCTCTGGGGAACAGTTAGGTGGCAGGGAAAAGCAGTTTGAAAAAGTATGTAATTACTTGTTATGTGAATTCAAAGAAAAGAAACCAAAACTGCTTGTTTAGAATTTGCATATTGTGTAGTTATCAGTACTAGCAGCAATTGAAGTCTGAAAAACGATGTGGATATAACAGATTGCCAGTCATGATTAAAAGTTTGATAGTACTATAATGCAAAAAGCCTCAAAGCAATAGGAAGTATGGGTGGATGCTAGTTGTGTGGTCTGTGACCAAAACAAAAGTCTGTATGTATTAAGCTCCATATGTACAGTGCAAGGTTTATGTCTCTAATGAAGCTCCATCTATTGAAATGACCAAGTGAAGTCCAAAATGATGTCATTTTTGTTTCTCAGAAAGCCTGGAGCACTGCTTATAATGTAGGATCCAAATATTACCTAGTATTTGTAAATCATGTCCTTACGGTTTGCCAGGACATTCAAGTTTGCTATTTGTAGTGAAACAGACAAGTTGTTTGGATTAAATTTTTAATGCGTGACATCATGTCTAATCATGAGTTGTCTTTATTAGAGTTACAGCTTTTACTATATTCAACTCTAATTGCAGAACTACACTTGATTATTTTTAGCTATATCCTTATAGGGTTTAATTTTGCTCTTCCAGCACAGCTGACAGAGGCAGGCAAGACTGCCTCTGTAATACCCTATGGGAACTTAACCGTGTCACTACCTCACCAGGAGGGGGAAGATGGTCAGTGCTGCAGTATTATCACACAGGGAGGGGATGCTTCTCTCTCAGTTGACCTCACATGGTGGTGATGCTGCTAAGTGCACCAAGAGTCCCATCGCTCACTGAACGCCGAAAGCTTTCTGGGATTGTTTTTATTTTCTTCTGATCAGAGCAAAAGAGTAGGAGTACCCTTGATGTTTTGAACTACCCTTGATGTTTTGAACTTTGAAGGACTTCATCCTGTTTCCAGTGCAGTTTGTTTGATTGGTGTCAAGAGCATGGGCTTGATCTCTAGCTTGTTAGGTATTTACGATCTCAGGTTTTCTCATTATTGTATAAGTGACTCTTGCACGAAAACCAGTGCAGTTCCGATCTGCTCAGAAGATGACTGAGGAACAAGATGATGAACAGTATGATAAGAGTTTGCACTCCTCTCCTGGCCAAAAGAAACAGCCCCTTTCACCGTTTAATCAAGTCTTGGTCCTACAATTACTACATCATTGCTCCCATTCCATATCAGCTAATTTGTTTTCAGCTATTTCTTCCCCTCACCTTCTTTACCACAGTATTTCCTTCTGTGGTCTGGACCCCTCACCCTTGCCTTGCCTGGCCTCTAGAAGTGAAGTGGGGCTCTGCTGAGGGCCGTCCATTTCCACGCAGCAGACTGCCGCAGTGTTCATACTGCCATTGTGCTGGGCCTGCTTGATTTGGCTCAGCAGGGCTTCAGCAGGCTACATTAAGCCATAGGAACAATAGGGATGTGCCTAAGACCTCAGCTGCCAAAACTGCACGATAAGCTAAGTGTTCATTTCAGAAAACTGTTTCCAGCTCTCTGGGTTGCAAAAACAGGCTTGCGGCAGCAGTTGCCGTTCATGCCAAACAAAAAGTCATTTGACCTTCAGTGATGCCGCAGCTGACCTGGGCATGGACGCAGCAGGAAGGGGTAGACTGTCTCTCAAGTGGGGCAGAGGTCCCTGATGGATGCTTGGGGTTTGGTTTTCCATTGGTGAGACTCAAGTGCTCTGCCTGGTAAGGGCTGAAAGTTGTGCTGTCTTACACCATCCTCCCAGCACGTACTTGTGGCACTGGAATAACACTGCTAGCGATTAGCTGGGCAAGTATGAGAACTTTCCTTTCTGTTGCAAGGAATGAACTAGCTCTCAGTGTTGACTTGTCCCTAATTGTGATTAAACCTCTGAATAGCTCTACATGGCAGTTTCAGATCTGTACAGGTGCCGGGTAATTTATATTCTTCCTTCCACAGTGTTAAGGTTTCTGTTTTTCTTTTTTATAAAGAGCTTGAAAAACGAGATTCTAGAACCAAAAAGTACTGATCCACTGTTACCTCTCCCAGGTTAATCCCTACAATCGTGCTCTTACCAGCATTTCATTCTTTCTCTGTTCTATTCTGTTCTATCTTGAAAAGAATAGTGCTTTTCTTTTTTTTCTTTTTTTTTTTTTTTCCTGCAAACACAAACTGGTAGGCTGTAAGGTTACAGGCTAAATGACTTAAATCATCAGAGAAAGGCAAAAAACTGTGCAGCACAGAAAGCTGTAGGTATTACTAAAGAAGTTCTAGCAAAATCTGTGGGCAGGCGCAACACACCAAAATGAAGTGGGTGAGGTTTGTTTCTGCAGTACAGATGTCTATGTCTGTGTTAGGCCGTGCCAGGTTGCAAGTCACTTGGACTGCCTCTGGCCTGAAGATGAAGCCTGCCCGGTTTGAGCTGCAGAATAAGAGTTCTCATTTCCAGGTGAGTCATGGAGCAGATGGACATACTGTTTCTAGTCTAGTTGTGGAGAGACTCCTTGCTTTCTTGCCAGAGCCTTCAGTAAGTTTTGGAGAAATAAGCCTACAAGTGTAAATCACAGTTCCAAGGGTGCAGAGTGCAGAACTTGTTTGCTGGCCCTTGTTATTTGAAAATACTTTGGCTTATACATGTACTTCTGCAGCTCTGTCTTGTTCGGTCTCCGTGATTTCATAGCCAAGCCAGAAAACAGAATATTCTGAATCATAAAAGATTTCATATTTTAAAAACCTTTTTTAATGTCCGTGAATTATATGTTCAGAACAGAAATCTGTGTCACACATACCGTAGCAGTGTCATAACTATTGTGTCTGTCTCTATGGAAGCCTTAGGCAGGGTAATGACTGACTTCCCAGCTTTTCTCTTTCAGACTTTTCATACAGCAGGTTCACCTAGTCACAGTTTCATTCATGTACTGTGTTTTAAAGTCTGAATTATACTGCTTTATTGACTGATCCCTAGAGAAGTGCTGTAAAGAAGTTTAACTGTCAACTTCTGGGACTCGCTGGTGATGAGCAAAATACCACTAGAACCAAATCAAAGACACTGAAGGGTCATGTAACTGTTTAGGGAAGTCCGGTTATTTATTTCTTTGGATTACTGGCTATTGATTTGTCCCTGTGAAGCATTATCAGAATATTACAGGGAAGTATGTTTGAATAAATCAAACACTACTACTTAATTATATAAAAAGATGCAAGGTGATCTTTGACAAAGAAAACTCTTGCACACGAGCAGATGATGCATCTGAGCACTCTGTAAAGTGCTGTTAGTGCTGTTGTACAAGTGGTGAAACTAAGGCACACTGAGATTAAAAGACGTTTATGTGGCAGTAGGGGGTAGAGTTAGGGCTGTTCATGCGCAGTGTCCTCATTAGTAGGATGATCCGCTACCTTCAGCCTGCGAATTCACTGTTTCAGTTTCCACTGCAATGGTTTGGATCAAAACTACAAAACTAAGCAACCCCAAATTGCTTTTTCTAAAGGAAGGGATTAAAAGATTTAAAGCTCCGACCAGCACATCTCCAAAAGACCAGGAAAACACATGGTAATGCTGAGTAGTGCTGGAGTTTAGCTTCTTATCATTATAGCAAAAGCTTGCATTTTTGCCTTTGGCCTCATCCTCCGTTAGCCAGAAGTTTAAAATGAACGGGGGAGAAAATCCAGTCTCTGTGAAGGTGGTTCCAGGATCAAAAGAAGCACAAAATATATTCTTGCAAAACATTTTTCAGTAGAAAAATATAAATAGCGCTTAAGCTTGGCATATATGGGTGGTTTGCACTTATTTTTACCATATTATGTGCATAGCTTCACCCGGCACAGTGTCTTGTCACACACTTTTACCTATGTCACACAAGCAGCTCAGTTTCATTTTCGCAGAATGTCTCTTTATGGCTAAACCTGACGATGGAATAAATTATCATTAAAATCGATAAACTGTCCCAGCCAAATCAGAGTGTGTTCTGTTAATATCAGAGTTTTTTAATGTCGTATTTTGTAGAGGTTTTTTTTAAACACGTTGCAGTGACTGGAAGCAAGGTGATGCTTACCAAATGGCAGTACTTTGGAGGAAGCTGTCCGAGGCAGTGTGCAGGGTGCTAGACTAAAGTGAGGAGTTTCTTGCTTGCCTGTTGCTTTATTGTGCTTCTTTGTGCTTCTTTCCCCATCTAGGAACTGGAGAGAACACTAGTAAACAGTTTTAACAAAAAAAATTTGCATCTTGATTTTAAAAAAAAAAAAAAAAAAAGCTTAGAAAATCTATATACCTATTATTTTGTTGCTTTTTTTTGTGTGTCGCAGTAATACCAGTGCGATTCTTGAATCCTCTCTCAACCGCCTTGAGTTGCGTTCAGCTGAGTTACTGACATCTGTTTAGTTACATACAGTACAGAGTTCAGGGAGTCACAGGATGCACGTTGTGTAGAGAACGGAGCGGCAGTAAACTGGAAGAAGTAAAACATGCGTGTGCTCTGTAACGTCAAGTCAAAAGTGACCCAGTAGGGATTACAGAACTGTAATGCTTTGGTATTTCTGTCTGATGTACGCAATAATGTTTCGGTGCCATGTAAAAAGATAAGGAGGCCAGGTCTTTTTTAATAGCAAAAAGGTTTATTTTCTGTACTACAGCTAGTAATTTTTTTGTGCTTTTTATACTTTTAAAAAATACAGAGAGAGAAAACGAGATGCTATTCCTGAGCTTTGACTGCAATTATAGCTGTATTCTCTGAGGTTACCTGGGAAAGAGCAACAGGATGGAGAATGATTGTTCAAGTTGTGGCACAGTGTCAAATAAAGCAAATTTCAATGTGAAAGTCACAAAA